TGCTGTTTCCAGCTGGAAGAAGTCCAAAGCCATCAATCTGATACCAGGTGTTTGGCGGTTGGTTTCCCTAAGGAATGGTGTCATCAGGGTCTACGTTTGACTTCTGCTGTTGTCTCCTGTTCCCTTAGCAAGGATGGTAGTCAAATAGCTTTGGTAAGAGAAGGTCCATATTGTTGAGGTTCTTGTAGAACCTCGGTGCTACTTTGAACATGAGTCCATTGGTCAAACACTTGAGAGGCTAGGAAATTGCTGTCTGCATAATGAGGCCATTGTGTACATTTTCTCTCCAGGTGTTACACACTGCCACTGATTTCTGCCAATCTGAAATTCCATCATCTCCACTGAAATCTAGGCGCTATTTTAAAGTTGGCCTCATGCAGTGCCATCCAGCCAACAAAAGACAAGCATCACAAAACTTTTTTCTCTCACTTTTTAAAATATTTTATTGATTTTTTACAGAGAGGAAGGGAGAGAGATAGCGAGTCAGAAACATCGATGAGAGAAACATCGATCAGCTGCCTCCTGCACACCCCCCACTGGGGATGTGCCCACAACCCAGGTACATGCCTTTGACCGGAATCGAACCCAGGACCTTCCAGTTCGCAGGCCAGTGCTCTATCCACTGAGCCAAACTGGTTTTGACTCAAACACTTTTAATTACTCATTAATTTTTGTTTTAACCATGAGTAAAACAATATTAAAAATAGTGGTAAACTTTTGTCTAAAAGTAGTTTTCTGTTTTTTGGCCTCTTGGCTATTGAAAATAGTCACTAGAAGATGGATCACCTGTTCTACATAAGTATTGGAGTATTTATCAGGTTAGCTTTTCTCCCAAGCTCTATTGTTTGGTGCTAGAAATGTGTGTTGTATGCCCATGTCCAAGGCCCTGCTCGAGTTGCTCTCTACTTAAATAGTAGCAAAGTCAAAGCTGTGTTGTGTGTGTAGGGTGGTGGAAGAAGACATTTAGACACTGATCCCACTTGGGACCTGAGGAGTTTCCTAGTTTGTCTCCAAGTTCATCAGTTCAAGTTGGGATCTTGAGCACAAGAAATTAGATATGGGGCAATTTTTCTATGAGGAAAGATAAGTTGTATTTTTCTTTTGCGTATTCATGTGTAATTGGGGAATGCTCTTAAACTTATTTTTAGATTTTTGCTTTATACATTTGTATGTAACATATTTATGTGTTGCTTGCAAGGATCAAATTGAATTGCAAGTTTAAAAAGCTCATTTCCTGCCCTGGCCAGTGTGAGTCAGTGGCTAGAGTGTCAGCTTGAGCACTGAAGGGTCTTGGGTTTCATTTCTGGTGAAGGGCACACTCCTGGGTTGTGGGTTGGGTCTCTGTCCTCTGTCAGGCCCGTGCGAGAGGCAACCAGTGGATGTCTCTCTCTCACCCCATTCTTCCTTCTCTCCCTTCCACTCTCTAAAAAGCAATGGAAAAAAATATCCTCAGCTGAGGATTAACAATAAGAAAGAAAGATGTCCTTTATTATTTCATTGTTTAACAGAAGTATGAAGAAAAAATGCATTTATATTGTATAGCTGACTTTGATTTTCAATGATATTTCTAGGTTACTGAAAATTAATAACAGACATTTGGGACAAACAGAGAACAAGCTGGGAAACTTTCTGTGGAACAACAGAAAGCTCTTTTTTTCTACATAATATTTCCTCCAGATTCGATCATTTCTGCTTGCATTTACTTAATACAAAAAACTTCTTGTTTTTAAGTCTGTTTCTTTCTCTTCTATTCTCTCTTCTACAGGCACTCCTGTGTGCTTTTACTATTTCATCAACTCCATGTTTTTATAATCAAGCATTGGAAAGAATTCACTTACATGAAAATGAAATGCTGTTATTATACCTTTCTCCCCAACCCCCAATGCTTAGGCACCTTGTTTAAGCCAATATAATAGATTTTTATAAATGTGGAATAGATTATCTTTCAATTAAAGGTATTATTAATATTTTTACCTTACAGGGGCCACGAAGACAAGCCATGAAAGAGATGTCCATTGATCAAGCTAAGTATCAGCGATGGCTTATTAAAAACAAAATGAAAGCCTTTTATGCTCCAGTACATGCAGATGACTTGAGAGAAGGAGCACAGTATTTGATGCAGGTAAATTTCTTATGTCTTTCAAATGACATTTTAGTTTATTGTAAGCTTTTAAAAACTCTTATGCTAGGTTTCATTCTTCATATTGATATAGATGGTAAACCTTTTAAAATATCTTTATTAAAGTAAACTAAGATTTGTATAATTTGAGAGTTAACGGGACTATAAAAACAATGTGCTTTTGGCTTATTGAAGAACCTATTATCTTAGCCTATTTCTCTAACCTTATTGGGTTTGTTTTTGTTTTTGTAGGAGTATGATGTAATGGCAGCCCTTATTTAGTTTTTTTAAAAAAAATTCTAGTTCTTTATTGTATTTCTCACTTTTTATTTACTAGTACTAAACTTAGACTTCTTTTTCAGTTTTGTGTATGGCATAGTAGCCCGATTGTGGGATTTAGTGTCAGCTATAGGGTTAAAGGCTAGCACTGCCACTTCCTTATTATGGATTTGGGACTGAGCAAGTTAACAAAATACTCTGAAACTCAGTTTCCTCTCCTCTGAAACTCTAAAGGTTGTGGGAAGAAAAAAAATGGGTTGATACAGTGTTTGCCAACAAATTTTTATAGGAATCCCTTTCTTCAAAAAAAGCTTTCTCATTGTGTTAATTGTGGAGCTATTTTGCTAAATAGAAGTTGGAGGCTCAGTACTGTCATCTAAGCCCTTTCTGTTTTGTGTTTCTTAAAACTTGACAAACATAGGGTTAACAATAGGTTAGGCCAGTGGTCAGCAAACTGCGCATGGGCCACGAAGTTTCAATCGCACTGTACATGCACGCCTGCACGTGGTATTCTGTGGAAAAGCCACACTCAAGGGGCCAAAGAGCAGCATGTGGCTTGCGAGCCGCAGTTTGCTGACCATGGGGCTAGGCAATCCTCAGGATTCATAAGAGGTGAGAGTGGGGTTGCTTTGGCAGATATCATGAGACTGTAGTAATTAAGACACTGTGGTGTTGAAGTAGCAATGAAAGAAAACAGAAGAAATAGAGCCACCCATTTAGGAAATTTAATATTTGACCGAGGTGGCATTGAAAGGATCAGCTAGGACAATTGATTCATACCTGTATAAAAGGCAATTTTTAAAAACTTTTAAAAGAAAATATAGGGAAGACTTTTTAAAAAATGAGACAATGCTTTCCTGCTTATAATGAAAACGAAAAAAAAGGAAGCCACACACCAGAGATAGATCAGAATATACAGGGTGGGTTTAGAGTTATAAGTACTTGTATTATTATTTGCTAACTATCATACTATTTTCCAAACGAACTGTAAACCTACTTTTGTCCACCATGTATAAAGCAATACTACCTACATTTATAAAATCCTAGTATGTTCAGTGTCCGACCGTCTGACTGGTCGCTGTGATGCGCACTGACCACCACAGGGCAGACGCTCAACGCAGGGGCTGCCGTGATGTGTACTGGCCATTTACAGAGAACAGCACCACGGACCTGGCTCCCACAAAGCAATACTCAGCTTCCCCCAAGTGAGACACAGGCCCCACCATCACCCCAGAGCAACACCAAATCGTAGCCCACACTGCCAAGACCCCATGGCACAAAATGTGGCCCCCAGCCCAGAAATGGTGGCTGTGGGCACCAGGTAATGACATCACGTAGCTACGCCCGGCTTCCTCTCTCTAGCGACTAGCCTCCTTGGAGTTTCAGGAACACAGGTGAAAATATTTTACCCTTCTAACCAAATGTCTGTGAAGTGTTTTCCCATGCCTCATCTCAT